AAAAAAGTTTCCAAAGTGAAAAATTTAGTATTAAGTTATCACTGTTAAGAGGGAGCTGTGGTGACCTAATGGCAAGAAACAGTGTTGCAATCCTGAAGGCACACAGTTACAGGCTGCCAGCTGCTGTGTGGGAGCAGGATGAGTAGTCTCCTCCCATGCAATTAATTGTATCTGAAGACAAGCTGGAGGGTCAGCTATGGATTGGTTCTTACTCTGTGGTATGCAGCAACAACAACAGTAACAAATTCACTATTAAACTTTGTTTTACAGAAAAAAATATTCTAGACAAGGGAAGGTTTCTTAATAAGATTATAAGATTAACATCTGACTTCTAGTCTAAGACAATGGAAACTAGACCACTGTGGATAACATGTTTAAAATCCAAAAAGAAAGTACAAAACCAACCTTTTCTAAGAGAAATGTACATTGAGCAAAAAATATCATTCAAAAATGAAAGTGAAATAAAAATACTCGCTGATTTAAAAAAAAAAAAAAACAAAAAAACTGAGAGAATGTGTTGCTAGCAAGCTTGTTATGGAAAAAAGTTCTTAAAGACGTTCTCCAGCCTGAAAGCAAATGATGTCAGTCAGTAAGTTAGATGCATATAGGAGGGGGGAAAGTACATATAAAGATAATTATACAGGTATGACAATATAGCTGCATATTTCTTTCCTTTCCTGTGTTGAATTGATTTTAACAGTAACAGTGGTAACTGTGATAGTTAACAAAACAAACTCGAGATACGTACTTCCTCTTCTTATTCTGCCATTTTACTTTGTTTACTATATGACTCATTTTTTGGTGTGGTTGTTCTTTCTTCTTTACGAACTTCTTTGGTCTTAAATGGATATATTTCTGTTGTAACGTCTTAATTCTTTTACTACTTTTTAAACTATTTCTTACCTATTTGATTTAGTAGTCATAAGGTTTATAGTCCACATTTTATTTGAGCAGAATCTATTTCAGATTCTTACTAACTTAATTTCAATAGGATATAAAAATTTTACTTCTATATAGTTCTATTCTCTTCTCTACTTTTCTGTTATTAAATATTATACATTATTTGCCTATAAATGTTTTACACTCAGTATCACTTTGCAGTAACTGTAATTTCCTGTAAGCTTACACTTTTTTAAAAAAACTAGTTTATTTACAAAATTCAAATACATTGTTTTATACACCAGATCCTTACCATTTCCCTTACACCACCCCCAACAAATCAAATCGTATAACCCCATGATTAATACACACACACACACACACACACACCCCCCTCCTAACTCCTCTTCTTCACCCTCCCCCTGCTTGGATCCTCATATTCATTCTACAGTAATGGTTTTATGCAGTATTTGTCCTTGTGGGACTGAGTTAGTTCACTCAGCATAATGCTCTTCTGTCCCTCACAAATTAGGTAATAGTTTATACTGTGTTACATACTAAGTTTATAAAAGTTCATGTACATTGTTATAAGTTTATGCTTTTAAAAACCCTGGAAGAAAAATATTTTTAGAATTATGAAACTTTCTAAGACACCAATACTACTGTATCTATTTTTCTGGGCAAATGTATGAAGTTTACCTAAATCCAGGTACAAATGAGGCTTTAGACCTTTGAAGAAATCCAAATACGGCTTTTCACCCCATTATGGTCTCATTAAACAGAAGGGAACAACAGGTAAGAGCCCTGAGATGAGCACCAGGAGGTGGCAGAATTAGAAGCGTATTTGATTTTTAGTGATTTGTGAGAGACTGAGGAAAAAGGAATATGTAAGTCTCTCCAGAATATATTCTTGATATTCAAGATCCGAAAAGGAGCTAAGTGGCTGGATGGAATTCTCCATGTCCCTGAAGCTGGCTTACACTGTGAACCTAAGCCGATTCTGGCCATATGTCTGCTTCTACCTCACCTACTCTACCTTCTGCCACCTGTCGTATCAATCATATATGATCCCCAGAAAGCAAACAAGGGGCGGGGAAGAGGGCTGAATCTGTCTATGGAAAACAAAGGCGGGTGAGACAAAAAGTGCACTATCTATCTAGGAAAGTAGAGCAGGGAAATAGATGGTAATTTAAATGAAGAACAGTTTGTGATACTTAAATGTAACACTAAAGATTACAATTCCTACAGATAACACATATGGTTTCCCATTTAGATAACTTGGTAATTAAAAAAAAAATTAAACTCTTAAGACAAATTAGGATCCTGTAAGATAAAATGCAATTGCTGGAACCAAGCCCATAACAAAGTATAATCGTATGAAAACCAGGAGAGGAAAGTAAGAGATGTAGAGGATAAATCTGGGGTATATAACATACAGTTAGTAGGCATGTCAGAAAAAGAGAATGGAGGAATTGAAAGGCAAATTTGTAAAGTAAATGATAAAAAAATATTATCCTTAA